TCTTGATTTATTTCAACTATGGGAAACTCCATCGTTCATTATAGAGGATAAGGATGAAGTAGGAGAAATTCTTTGTGAAAAAATATTTGATGACTGTTAAATGAAAGATTTGCACAAAGATAAAAAATAAAAAATCTACATTAATTGGAATATTGATTAAAAATGGACAAATAAAAATTTTCCGATTGAATATATTATAATTCTAGTTGAGATAATCAGAATTTTGATTAATATGATCAAAATCTTCTAGTTTGTCCATTTTTCAACAAGAAATTTTTCTCAGTAGTTGAGAGTTAATAGAAAATTCATCATATTTTCTTACAAAATCTAAACGTTTTAATTATCTATACTGTTAAATACTTCAAACTTTAAGAATAATTTTCTAGATAATAAATGATGAATATGACTAAAGGTGGAAAGTCAAAGTAATCATAACATTACTAATGTTGATAGCAATCTTGCATTTTTACATCTCAATTATACAATTCATCGAGCTGTCAGGAGCAAGCACGTAATTAGTAGCCCGTGCTGTCTTGTGTTAAATTAGCGATTTCATTCAAGTATCTCCGGTCACAACTTGCGGAAGCAGCTGACAACTTCCTGCTTTCTTATGCTGGAAAGAAGGAAGCAATGGTTTTCGCGAGCATGACGAGGAAGAACGATCAATTGATGAATTTCTAATTACGATGATAGCGCAAATATTTTTACTGGTTATGCCAGAGTACTTGTTGCCAGTTCATCAAATTTGTACATTGCTCGCTGAAGTCGTGTTTTTTATGTGTGGAAGATTGTAATAGAAGCGAAGTAGAAAGCCATTAAGTGAAGAATATAAAATATACACCTATATATGAGAATCATTAAATTCTTAAATCCATTAAATAAATCTCGTTTGTCTTCGATGCCTATCGAAAATAATAGCGATTAAAATCGATACTTCATTCTTTTCATTAAAGACTCTTCCAAATTTCGATTTGTAAAGTGAGATAGCTAACGAATTGGCTATGTGAGATTAAAGCGTTCATCGAACGCTCATTAGAAGTTAATTTTCTCGCACCCAGATATCACTAATTAAAAAATATGGTAGAAATAGGTTCAATGATCTTGACTTTTAGCAAATCATTAATGAACATTTTTCTCACTCTCTTTCTCTCTCTCTCTCTCTCTCTCTCTCTTTCTCTCTCTGTCTGTCTTTCCTTGCTGTTTTCTTATAACAAAGAGAAATTTTTGACAACAAGATGTAAATCTCCATGACACTTTTTTAATTGTTGAAGGAAATGGAACAAGTAGGATAGTCGAATGACTCTGAAAAGAGTGAAAAAGATCATTTCGTGAGAACGAAATAGCACCTAAACGAATTTGCGTCCAGTGCCGCTCTCATGAGGATTTGTTTTAATATGCATCGCACGACGCATTTATCTTAGCCATAGACTTTAATTAAAGTTTCTTTCCCAAAAGAAAGAAAGCACATAATAATAATGCTTTCCCGTGTGTATTGCATTGAGTGTACACATGTATAGAGACATGTGTGAGAGGGAATACTCTTTTTTCCTCTTCTTCTTTCTTCGTTGAACAATAGAAAGCACCAGCTTCTGAAAATCGATCGATTCTTCTTGCATCGCGCCTCATCGCATAGAACGATGTCTGTTGCAATCTGTTGCTTTAACTCTAATTAGGTTGAAATGCGCTTAATCAAATTTCCTTTACTGTCACACTAGAAATATAATTTAAAAATAGATGAAAATATCAATTAGTATTAAATCAGTTAATTTAATCAAAGCTAAAATTTAAAGTTAAAATTTAAAGTTAAAATAAAAAGGATAAAAAGTGTATTACTTGTAATTTATTTTAATATTTTTTAAGTAAACATTATCACTGAAAGACTCGAATTATATGAATTCTAGATTTATATTCGCGCTTCATTCTAATTTTATCTGTTTGCGATTAGAAACTCAGAGGTGCAATTAAATGCAATAGTGCTTTAATTTAATCTGCGTTGAGAATGCCTTGCATCATATACTAAAAATATGCGCCGCCGTTCAGTTAGAAATGAATTTCTAAAAGAGTTAATTCAACGTGATTTCAACGTAATCTCAACGGCTTCCATCGTTCGTATTGCGAATTAATTGTTATTCTTAATATTTTTCTTTTCAACGGAGTTGAATATTTTTATGCTGTAGGATTATCAGGATTATACGTTTTGTTGTTGTTCAAATGCTTTATCACGAGACTTATGCAAGACATGTTATGAAAGACATCATTTTCAAAATTTGTAAACATTAAATTAAATTTATAATGTTATGTTTATGATGCTATATCTAGCTTTTGTACATCATAGAATATTTTTCGTTAAGTTAATAAACACAATAAAATAACACGACATATTACATCTAATTTAAGACTGTTTAGCGATTTTTTGAGCGGTTAGTACGCTGTTTATTAAAGGAGAATACTACAACAGATTTATATACGTAGACATTTCTGTTTAAAACACTTAAATGGAAAACATAATACAATAGTACGTATATGTAGTTCTACGAAAAAAAATCTTAAAACTTAGAATATTATATAAAAGAAGAAATTGGAAAATAGAATTCACTCTACACGGATGTTGCGTGGAAACAAATCATTCGGGACACGTCAAGAATTAAATGAACTAACTCGATACTGCAAGAATCAAAGATGTGAATGCCTTGATTTCATAAACGTTATTTTATATACAGTAGAACCAAGTATTTTCAAAGATTTTAAGAGACGATTCTTCACACAAATTCAAATCGAAAACTCTATATGATTGTATGTCCAGAAGGGCTAGTTTCAAAGCTATAGCTATATGAAAGGAAGGCTATGAAGGAAAAATTGCCTTTTTTCCAAAAATTTTGAAATTTTTAAACTTTTATAAAATTTCATCAAAATAAATCAAGTGATTTTCATAATTAAAAATAAAATTTTTCGTTCAATTTGAATTTGTATGAGAAATCATCTCTTAAAATTGTTTAAACTCACTTAGTATCACTCTGTATATTCCGTATATTATATATATTATATCGTTTGAATCTCGCTCTAAAGTCCCATTTAATTGCGCTTGTAATTGTAGAAATTAATTTTACGATGATGTGCTACAACGTTCTTGTGACCATAAAACTAATTTATCATTTATTTTATTAGCCTCACTTTCCTCCGTTGACGTTGCAGCGTGAAACATAGTTCGGTTGATTTGTTCGAATTTTATTTCTGACATTCACATCTTTACTGCTTGCGATTCCGATATAACGGTCACCATCGAGTGCAAGTATAAAAATAAAATTGTATATAAAAGTTCTAGGGAACTTGTCCCGTGTTGCTGTCCGCGAATGAACGCGCTAGGAAAGTAATTGTTTAGCGAATAGATCGTTTTCAACGGCATTTCTGCAAATATATTCGCATTTTATATACTTCAATTTTACAACATTTCTATATCTATATAATGATCTATTTATAAGACAATAATTGCGATAATTCAAATATTATACGTAGTCAATCCGCTTATTGAAGAAGTTTTTCCGATGGGAAAAACGTTTCACGGTACCTTATGACGAAGTATCGTTCGCTCTCTATATTAAATTCTGTTGAGATTGAATGATTTAAAAAATAATTATAATGTTTAAATTTCTCGCTTTGCGACACACTTTTGTTCTTAAACTCCGGGAGGAAAATATGAGGAAAAAAAAAATTTTGAAACGTAATTTAAGGTGCGATCCTTTTCTCATGATTTTTCTCGACTTAGTATTATTTTCCTTCTATTAAAATTTGAAATCTCGACGAGTTTAAACAAGAAATCCAATTGGACGCGCCGGAAATCTGAACAGAGATGTTCGGATGTTCTTCGTATCACTCTCCGAGAAAGCGGATCTGTATCACTAAAATGCGATAAACCAGTGGTAGGATTTGGAAGCTTTTAGCGTTGATCCTTCGCGACATTCTCGACACTCTACACTAGTGTAACTTACATGCCCGGCATACACGTTGAAATCGCTGTGACAGGAAGCTATTTTCTTCGAGTGATACGCGTGTGAAGAACAGCGTCCCATCTCGTCGGAAATAAAACAGAATTGCGACTTATAATTGCGGAATTTTAACAATTTTACTAGACATATAATTTCGCGGAACAACATAAATAAGGATTCATAATTCCAACTTTCTACTTAGCTTTAAAAAATTACCTTACCTCACGCAGCAATTACGTGAAATTAAGCGTAATTCTAAATCGAGAAGAGATTAGAGACGAAATACAGGATAATAAGCCCTAGGAAGCAAAGAGAATGGAGGAGGAGCTATCGACTTTCAAGAAACGTATAATCCTGATTCCCATGGCGGTCTTTTATTTCTCTATCACGTTTCTGAGCAGCTGGTGGCAGTGTTGGTACGATAGGTTGCCCGAACACGCCAACTCTTTCAAGAAGCAATCGAGTTGCCCTTTTCGGAGTGCCTGATTCGCGAGTTCGCCCTCGAACGTTCATTACCCGAATGATAGAACCGATCCACTTGCCATTCTAGACTACCTTTATAATCCGTCGTCTTCGTTTTTCCACCTTACTGTTTGGTTACGTCGTCGAGGTTTTCTAGGAATTACGTAAAAAACAGGCGAAGGTACATTTACAGGGCGCGCCGTTATATCATCCAGTGAGCAATTAATTAAAAGTGTGATTGGAAATCTTTGTATGACGTTACTTTGCAATTATTAACAATTCACTTATTCCGAATTGAGTATCTTCTTGATAGCAAATGGAGGAATAATTTAATAGACTGTATGTTCATTTAACATTTATGGTATTAATGGTATTTCATCGTTAGTAATGTATATTGTCAATAAGCATAATGGTTAAATAAATACAGCTATCATCAGATGATATATCGCAGCGCATCCTTTGCGTTTCACGGATATATACACATACGAATGTATATACAGACATTGTAAAAACACGCTTGCCAGATGCGAGTTACCGTTGGTTGACAATAGGTACCTATTAAAGGGACAGCGTCCGAAGTCGTCGGCATGCTTTCTGCCACGAGGTTCAGGAAAACTGTCAGCGACAGCAGAATGGTCACTCCTGAACAGGCGAAAAATTAAACATCAACACTGCATCGCAACGCGCGGGCTTAACGTGCTACCTTGGATCTCTACGGTACCTAGATTTTAGATTTTAGAGTTTTAATTAAGCCGCTGACGCATAAGGAGATCGAGATAAAATCACTTTCGATTTTTCCGAACGACATAACTCAAAGCATATCGTGTCCGTGGATCGATTTACAAGTTTCCCTCGCCGAAAGTTTCTTGAGTTCGTTGTAAATTCAGACTCACACTCGCGTATCATGATTACGATCTGCCTATTGACAGCGCTGATTTCCAAAATCCAGCTCGAACTGGAATGCTATCTACAGATTTCATAAAAACCTGTAATCTCCATATTTTCGATCACGGAAAAGTACGTTTGAATGTGCTACTAATGTGATGCAAAAGTTTTACAACTTTTTCAACAACTATTTATCGCATTTTTGATGCGATGTTATTTTTTAATTTAAAGACTAATATACAAGAAATTTATTTTTTATATAAATTCCTAAAGGTCGCTTGAAACGTGATGAGAAAACTAATGATTAGATAGAACCTGCTGCATGAAGTGAATGGTTTGTGGATGAGTCAGAACTCGTTGATAATGTGATATTAATGATGATGAGGTAGTGCAGAGAACGATCCGATAGAATCCGTGCGATAGTAGCGCGAATTATGCGACTCTGCGCAAACATTTGAGAAGACATGTCTGTGAGCTCGCTCGCATGATTAAGTGTGGACGACCACAAACAATCGAATCCTCTGTATCCCGTGTAGATTCTACTTCGCCCTCGGCAGGATTTCGAAGGGTAGGATTAGCTCAACAAAGTTCGGAACGTGTAACGGATGCACCGCGCTGCGAGGGGTCGCAACGTTAGGCGACTTTGGTAAATCTGCCTAAGTCGCCGGCAACTCCATTACTGCGTAACAGCCTTCAAAGTGACCAGCAAAATTCGATTATCTTACTGCTCCTCTCCAAAATTGAGAACTTCTGCAAGCGGTTGACAACTTTCGTCTGCGTGAAACGGACAGGCTAACCGCAAACTGATTGGGTTGAAAGAATTCGAATTGTCATATGAATTTGTCAAGAATTGAATAATTCGATTAATTGCAATCCCTTGCTCTATAATATCAAGAGATACGGGTCATAAGCTAAACGTAATAAATATAAGTTAAACATAAAAAATACGGGCTGAACATAAAAAAACATATTCAACTCGTGGTAAAAGTTATTTTAGTCTGCCAGGCAAATCGTTAAAATTATGTCTATATAAACTCTCAAAAGCTCCACTTTTTTATTATACTATTTTTCTTTGTTTTATATTGTAAAAAGTGCGTTCGGGGAGATGATATTAGCGCTATTTGTATCATTTTATCCTTGTTTTATGTGTAATAAACGATGAAGATAGAATGATACAAATAGCGCTAATAGTCTCTCCCCGAAGGCACCTAAAGTTTATGTAACAACAAATTGAAAAAGAAAATAGCCAGAAAGAAGTGAAAGAATTTTAGTTGTAATGTAAAATTTTTTTTATTAATTAAAATTTACTTTATTAACACAAAGAATAATATTTTATGTAAAAATATATACAGGGCTTCTTTATGAATGCAGAATGTTCTGGAAATCGTGGTGCAATCAGAAAAAATTCATGAGTCTTCTTGTAAAAGTAAGTCGAAAATATAGAATACAATCTTTTTTTGTATAGAGTGTGAATATTCGTTAAGTACGTCTGCACTTAAGTGCTACAATTTGCTTAATTCATTCAATTCGACTTCTCTTATTTCTATAATGGATTTGGTACAATTTAAAATACATAATAAATTTCAATAATGTATTTATAATGAATAATAAAGTATTTTATTAATTGGAAAATTGATGAAAATGTCTACAAACAAATTTTATTTTATATTTTGACTTATTTTTACATGAGAAATCACTTCCTTTCAGTTGTATGACAATTTTTAGAACAGCTCATATTCATAAAAGATTAATTACATTATATATTTTTACTGAATATTTTATGTTTTATAAAAGAGTTAATGTTTAAAAATTTTTTATCAGGGTATGATTAGTTTCCAGAAAATTGGTACAAGGAGATTGAGAGTATTGTCAGATCCTTATTTGTGGAAGTTTGTCGCGCAAACGACTTTCCTAATTACGGTATGCGCGGTACCATAACTGTTGTAAATTAAATCATAAGACAAGGGATTAAGAACCCGATATTATAAACGAATATTAATTGAAAAGTTACTACTCTGTGCAGGGAATGCCATAGGAACAGAAATATTAATGTAAGAAGTAATAATTTGTATTTTTATGTAATAATAAAATTTTTCAGTAATCACATTATATATTAGTTTAACAAAATATATATAATTATTAAATTTAATGGAAATATATTAAATTAGCGATATATAATTTTTATGATCTTTAGAAATAATTTTTGTTACATAATTCAAATTTTATTTCAGTATCATCTCAAAATATAAAAAATGTAGCTCGGAACTGTTGAAAAAAATAACTTTTCCATTTATATTTCATATATTAACTTAATCAATTAATTTAATTAATCAATTAATGTGTGTATGCAAAAGAGGAACGTTATTATTTTATTGTTAGAATATTGTACGTAATACAATTGACATGTTATAAGTTATTATCTTTGAATGCGTCATAACAAAAAAATGTTATAAATAAAAGTTGTATGATTTGAAAAGAGACAAATAAAGGAAAAATCAATTTGTCATGATTATATTATTTGTTTTTTTACACCATACAATTTTTGTTCGAAATATTTTTTGTTATAATACATAATAATAACTTGTAACTCTTTAATCCTTCAATCTACACTATTAAATCTTTAGTATCAAATTTAACTTAATTTAAGTCGCCATTGCTCCTATTCAATATATTGTTATTTTATACTAAAACAATGAATAAATTTGGCACTATATAATGTCAAATTTATCTATCGTTTTAATATAAAATAACGATATATTAAATCGGAATAATGGCAACTCAAATTAGATTAAATTTGATTGATACTATAGATTTAGCGTGTACAAAATGACAATTTATATTAATCGATATTCATAGGTACAGTAGATCCGGATATTTTTCAACTATAACGTTGTATAATACGTTGTATTATTTATAACAAATTTTTACATAATTTTAAGTTATATAATCTTATTTCTCGAATTTTAATCTCCAAAATGAAAAAATCATTCAATTACATTAATTTTAAGCAAAGATATATTATATCTATTAATTTAAAGTACACTGTAATCCACGAATACCAATTAATGTTAAATAAATGTAATCTAGTGCTATTACATTCTCGTTAATGATTACCTGCCTCATGTAATATTTGTTTGGTAACAGTAGGTACGTGTAAAGTCATGTAATATTTGTTTTAAACGAAATCAACAAACCGCGATGTCGCGAGTTAATTCACCAAGTTCGGAGCATTACGATGGTTCTCGGATGCGCGAGGGGACTTGACAATGAGTCATTAAGCTTGATGTATATATACGTAGTTAAGTTATATGAAACTCCGCTGTGTAGCATAGTGGACTCACTCTGTTAGTCGATGAATTGTTACTACCATTAAATTGTCGCTTGCGAATCAGAAAATATAAAATATGATGCATTCACCGATGATATTTCGGGAACGAATCCCGCGATTTCGTTAATCAAAGAAATTAATTAAAAACGTGCATATATATCTGAGCATGATCAATCATCAAATGGACAATTAACATTAAATTATACATGTTTCGTTGATGTTACTTGATTGATGAAAAAGTTTGAATAAAAAGTGTTTTAATAAAAAGTGTTATTAAAGACTTAACAATTTTTTTTAGAGATATATTTAATTATTCAGAAATGCAAAATTTATTGGAATCTGACGAAACTTTAAGCTTTCAACATTTCGAATTCGTAAGTCAAAGAACTTTTTCTTTAACGACATTTAAAATCGGCTTTCACGATGCTGGTTTTATTTAATGAGCAAAAAAGTTAGAGGTCATAAAAAGAATACTATGGATAAAAATTTTTGAAACAAATTTAATTACTGTAATTTCAATGAATTATTGTATATTTAAATATTTAAAAATACAAAATTTAAAAAATACAAAATACAAAAAATCGGAAGTCTTACGAAGTCGTAACCTTATAGTGTTTCGAAATATATCAAAGAATTTTTTTTCTTTAATAATGTCTGAAGTTAGAAACCATATCTTCGTACCTTTCGCTTGTGCTTTAATTTGATTTAATGGCAGTTTAGGTGAGATAAGGTCGAACGAGAGCATAGTATTTCGATGAGATCGACGGACGTAACCGCGACAAGGTGCGTCCGCGGTGGGTGGCAAACCGCCAATAACATCGGGGGTTGTCGGTCAGCGGGGGAAGGCGCGGAGCTTGAGGAAGGTTGACCAATTAGTTCCTTGCTATTAGATCCAAACGCTAACTGGAATATCAGAACGCGTGCGCAATCGATACTTTTTCGAAATCATATCCCAGAATCTTGCATGAGAAACGTTAATCGCACGAGCTGCTGATGCGTCACACACGACAGATTATTATTCCAGAGATGTGGAAATTTGCCGACAGAAAATATAGAGATTGATGATAGCAATTATAGTAGAAGATTAATTTTCATATATTCAGGTAAGAAAAATCTTCTGTCAACTTTTGATATCTCCGACATTTAATAATTTTTTTTATATTATATATGTATGTCAATTATTGTATAAATCTCATTAAAATATATTTAAAGATATTGAATATATATATAGAATTTTAGTTTTCCGAGTTTTATGTGATAATAAATATTTACCTATAATAATAATTTTCAATTATTTGATTCTTTAAAGTTTAAGTTATTAAAAAATAAAATTTTATTTTTTATTTGCTATTACAGAATAAATATTTCTTAATTTTTATCAGCGACTAACTTGTTTCTTGTGCCAAAGAAATTTTTATTAATAAACTAT